GCCACTGGACGCGCACCTTGTGAGCAGCTCCGTGGTAGTGGAGGGAGGTGAGGCATGAAAAGGGACCTTGCTTTAGAATGAACAAGGCTGCTCCTAGCTGACACCCCCGCACGTCTCATGTCTTCCAGACTCAGTCCCTATATTTCTAAAATGAGTGTAATAATCTCTGCGCTACCTGGTTGGAGACGAGACCAGTGACTGGAAGTGACGTTATAAACTGTAAAGGGTATACGCTGTTTGTAAACTGAAGCATTTCTACACTCTACAGTGCATGAGCTAATGTTAGAATCATTGCTGTTTTATCTGCAGAGGAAAAACCAGTTCCATCCAGTTTAAATGGGCTTGCCTCCATTCTCTCATCTGTAAATGGGAATAATGATAGCAACTCCATCTATTTCAGTGAGCTGAGACAAAAAAAAAAAAGATGCGAAAGTACTTTTTAAATGAAGGTACTCTCTCACTTGTACAAGATTGTTAGTTTAAGCAGGTGAGTTTTCTTGACTTCACAAACAATCCTGAGAAAAACAATTATAACTAAATTATCTTCAAAGTCAGCATCTTTGATTTACTGCTTGCAGAAACTTCACGAAATTAAATATTTAAAAGAAACGGGAATAGGATGGGGGCTGTAGCTCAGTGGTAAAGCATTTACCTAGCATGTGAGAGGCCCTGGGCTCAATCCCAGCACCACAAATACATTAAAAAGAAATTTAAAAATAGAAAGGATAGAGATACTAAAGATGATATTGCATTTAGGAAAGGATAAATAAAATTAAATGATTTATTTGAAGTTGATACTTCTTCAATGCTTTTTGAATACCTGTATTTCAGTTAGGTATATTGTAGAAATAGTGTTCGTTTGATGCTTTGGTTATTTTTTTTGGCTTTGCAGTGCTGGGGACTGACCAGGGCCTCATACATGTAGGGTACCAAGTGCTCCATCCCTGTGCTACAGTGAAGCTCTTCAATGATCACTTAAAATGTTAAACATTCAGCTAACCTATCGTATACTAGGTATTTTAGGTATATTATTTTATTTTACAATTTTTTAGTCTTCTCCAGAACCGAGGAAAAATGTGAGCCCCATTTAAAGATTGAGGAAATTGAGGTTACTCAGAGAGGTTACTCAGCTTGTCTCAGGTCTAATAGCAGATCCAGGGTTTTCCGACCCCCAAATTCCTGCTCCTTCTGGCTTTTTCTCGGGAGGGTTACTGTGGGCTTCTCCATTTGGTGGTAGGATTAACTCATAATTTTAAAGTAGCAACCCAGCAAGCTTTAGTTAGTAAATACCACAGGTGGAATGTAACCATTCTGAAGAACCTGGATAAACAGGTGCTTCTTAGCCAAAATGTCATTTGTCTTCTTAAATTAACTGCAAGAGCTTAAAAAATTTGGGCACTGACTTTTTCAGTATACAATTTTATGCAGAGATTCAACTAATTTTTCCTTGAATATTTCCAGGGTCAACTCACACCTTTAAAAAAATAAAAATGATTAATTATTAGATGTTAGGAGTTAGAAAAAAAATACTAAGTAAGAAGAGTTCTTAGAAATAAAGGCCATTTAAATCTCTTGGGAGGTATCAGTTATTTGAGAATGATGTTCTGTTGTTGCTACACATAATAAGTTAATCTTAAAAGGCATTTATCCCCGCTGATGTAAAAGTTTTTACTCGGACTAGCTCAGTGAACTGGATGTCATTTTCATGTATGAATTTTGGTAAGCTGTGTTTACCAGGAATTTTAATTACTTCATTACTTTGAAATGACACCATCCTAAACTATTGAGTCTGTTTCATTGCGTTTTACTTGTTGGTAAGAGTGTTCAACTTTAAGGTTTTAAGTCAAGCAGGAGAAGAAAAGAAGAATGAAAAAAGAAAAAGAAAATTAATGCCAAGAGGCCTTCAAATTTATGTATCTTGTCAGGCTGTTTATTTCTGATTATCTAAGTGTGATACTGACACATACTTTCTGACTTATTCAACCCAGCTGTAAGAGTATTTGTAGTAGTCTGTTCCTTGAAGATATATTCAAATAAAATATTTGTTAGCACAGATCTATATGTAACAATTAACACTATCTTATTTATGAAAAAATAGCCCTCGGAGCTTGTAAATGGAAATATAGAACTCTTCCTTAAACATGCATTACCACCACCACCCCCCAATCTACTTTGAGAATAATAGATTTTTATCTTTCTTAAGAAGTAGTTGGTTTTAACTGGAGAAATTTAAAGGAAAATAGGTTTCTAGTATCTAATCTAAATATTGGCTAATCTTCCCCAGCAACTTTGAGAGAACTCAACAATCGTGGGTGAGTTATGATACTATTTTAAAAGTCATCTCATAGAGGGCCGGGGATTTAGCTCAGTGGTTTCACCGCCTGCTGCGTAAGCACAAGGACCCGAGTTCGATCCCTGGCACACACACACACAAAAAGTCATCTCATAGGTAAGGAAAAGCTGATAGGAAGCAGAGGGACATGTCTAAAATTCATTAGCTACTGTTTCTTTGGGTTTGGATTTCACATTCTTTCTTGAGGTATCAAAGTCAAGCTTCCCCTGCAAACAAGAGTTAACAATCTTTTTTTTTCTTTTTTCTTTTTGGTACCGGAGTTCAAACTCGGGTCCTTGCAAGAGTTAACAGTCTTTGAGAGACAAATTATGGTCACTTGTAAAAAGTAAAATAAGACATGGCGATGATATAGGGCATATGATATAGGACCTCCAAATAATGTAAGGGAAATATTGTAACTCCCAACTTCCTAGATGTCCGAAACACCAAGTTTGTGTTATCTAAAATGAAAGAATGAATTCTAGGAACAACAGAGGTTAGGAGTAGGAAAAATTTGAGAGAAAGATAGCTTCTGTCTAAGAATGACATAAGGGGGTCTGGAAAGTGGGTGGCCTGCCAACCCCGCTTCTCAAGGGTGTTTTATTGAGCAAAGCCACCAGGTGAGGCGAGTTCAAGGTGGGACAAAACTGTAGTCAACTAATAAGATGAAAAGTATAGTCGCTTAGGTAACCATTCAATGGTCAGCCAATAAGATCACAACATTAGTCACTTAGGTAATATTGATTAAATGGGGATCAAATGGAACGAACAAGGACTTCCTGGAAGGAATGGGCTGGGGAGGTTTTGGTCCTCACTCAAGGTGTTTGATGCCTATTTAGAACATTAATCAGTACTATTCATCCCTAGGGGAAGTATGTGAGTGTAGTAGTTCCTCTTTTTGCATCCCGGCCTGTAATAAATGGGCCTCAATTGTCTTCTGTATTGACTCCCTTTCTAAATGCCTATAACATATCCAACTAACTTAGCTGTCTACAATAGTGATAGATGAGCAACATGCAGGGCTCTGTGAGAGACATTGTTGCTCAGGACTTTTGGAGCCCAAGGAGAGAAAAGATCAGAAAGGTTGCAGTTACCTTGGCTGGAATTCCAAAGACTTGGTTAGAAACTTCAAGGATGATTATAATTACAAAGAGGGTTGGATGGCCAAGGAAAAGTCACTGGAACCCTGGATTCCTTTTAGCATCATTAGTTACAAGATCAGTCTTGCATTGTTTCTGCTATGTTAATATGGAAAGTGATCTAAGAAATCTGGTTCCTTGTACCTGCTCCAGCTAAAAGGAGGGTGCTATGTGTGATTGGCAGCTGGACGCTTATGCTCCAAAACTGCCTGGAGATGAAGTGACCCTTGCTTCCAGGAGACAGCAGTGTTGCCTTTGTTTGCTGGTCCTGCTTCTTGTTAACCAGTCCCAGATGACTAGTTTTTGCTAACTAGAACACCAAATCAGACCGAGATAAGCATTAGGAGAGTGTTATAAACAAAGTGTTGAGGCCGAAGTTAATTCTGTGCAGGGGTCAAGAAAGGGCAGACAGGAGGTGACCTTTCAGAGGATGCTGGAGCAGGAATAGCATTTTGCTAGCTAGGGGAGGGGTGGGAAGGGTGTGCACTAGGCACAGGGTAGGAGAGCAGCAGTGTAGGGTGTGAGAAGACTGTTCAGGAAAGGGTAAGCAGTTAACCGAGGGCTGGATATATAAGGTTACTGAACCCGGAACAAGTCACTGTAAGAAAATATGCGATCCATACCATGCTTCAACAAACTACATTTTTCTGAAAGACATTTGGAAGAAGTGTCCAGTTACTGTCCACTGTATGCCCAGCTCCATGCTAGGGACAATGGAAGGCCCTTGTCCTAGAAGTGCTCATTCCCTATCTGGAAGGAAAAAAAAACCCCTCACAATTAAAAACAATATGACAGTTTCCAAAGAAGAGCATTCAGTGGCTTGAACCTCCAGGCCCAAAACAACCAGCCAGGGTGCACATACCCCTGGAGGTCAGCTGGGATAGCAGAGGGCTTGGAGGGTGGGCTTGGGATTCCTGCATCCAGCATTGGAAATAAAGGTCACAGCTAAGTCTAACAGAGCACTTTCTATGTGCCAGGTGCAGTGCTAGAAGCTCACATGGGTCAGCTAATTAAATCTCTGCAGTACCGTATTCGGGAGCAACAGCTAACATCTCTCAGCTGACTCAGGGAAACAGAGGCACGGCTGCATTCAAACCCCGGGGACCTGGCTCTCGGGTCCCACAGTCCTGTTCGCCTCAGTTCTTCTGAATCTAGTACACCACCCGTGAGGAGCACTTAGATCTTAAAATAACTAACGGGTATCCCTTAAAACTTGCATTTTTAGAATAGTCCAACTCAAATCAAATAAAGATTCGTAAGCTCCAAATTTGTAAATGAGGAGAAAAAGCACGGTCGTACAGCTCTAAACTTCTGCCTGACCCAAGGCAGGCCAGAAAATGTTTCTTGTATTTAAATACATAATTTTTCCTTTCGGGACAATTTGGTCTTTCTGAACGCTAGGGGCTCCCGGATTCTCTGGTTCGAGAGTAACTTTTCCTTTTAGGAGTTTTGTTTTTTTTTTTTTTTTTGGAAGGGGGTGGGGGAAATGTGGCCTTAATTATCCTACGTTTTAGGCAGCTTAAGAAAGGGGCTGTACTTTCGGAATCTCATTCGAGCCAAGGAAGGAGGCCCTCTCTCTCTCTCCTTCGCTCTTTTTAAAGGAGCTCGTGAAATAAAAGTGCAGAAAACAAACCGAACGATCGCAGCAGCAGCAGGAGGAGGAGGCGGAGGTGGAGGCGTAGCTGGAGTCCGGCCGGCGCTGCGGGGCTGCGGAGTTCTGCGCTGCTCCCATTCATTAAGCGACCAGAGGCGGAGGAAGGTGGCCGGGAGCGCGCGTCGCCCACTCGCTCTCGCGCACAGACGCCTGCCAGCCCCCCGCGTCCCGGGCAGCAGCGCGCTGCAAAAGTTTCTGCTGGGGTCCGGCGCTCTTCCCCTTGGACTTTCGAAGGATCTGGGGTTGCGAGAGGAGAGAAGGCGCCCACAGGGAGCAAAGTCAGCGCCGGCTGCAGCTGTACGCGGGCGGCCGAGTGTGAGGCTGCTGTCTCGGCGGGAGGCACGGGCCGCAGCCAGCGCCATGCAAAACTACAAGTACGACAAGGCGATCGTGCCCGAGAGTAAGAACGGCGGCGGCCCGGCGCTCAGTAGCAGCCCGCGGAAGAGCTGCAGCAAGCGCGTGCTGCTCATCTGCCTCGACCTCTTCTGCCTGTTCATGGGTGAGCCGCCCCTGCCCGGCCCCGCAGCCCCTGCCCGGCCCCGCTCGCGCCCGGGGCCCGGCGCTCCGCCCCTGGGGAGCCGGGCAGGGCGCGCGGAAGCGCCGGGGTAGATCTTCAGCGGAGGCGAAGGGGCTGAGCCGCGATCGCAGCCGACGCGTAGCTCGTAGCCTGCACCCGAGTCCCGGGCGCTCTGGGGGCCTCGCCTGGCTGTGTGTAAACAGCAGCCCTTCCGCCGCCGCAGCCCTTCTCTCTCGCGCCCCGCGCGCCCCTGCAGTGCTCAGTCCCGGTCCCGGCTCGGTGCTCGGTGCCGGTCCGCAACCCCCCGAGTGCCTACTGTGCGCCAGGTGGTGGGCGGTTTCGCGGAATGTTTTAATTAGCTCTCTGCCCGAGTCGGTGCCAGAGGGGTTAGGTGACCCATTTCACCAAATACCCCGAGGAGAACCAAGCCAAGGTCTTGCTCAGAGACCCTGATTGGATTGCGCTCCTGGAAAGTTGAGGCGCCGCGTGTGATGTTTTCCAAAGTAGCTGGAAGCTCCAGCTAGCAGGGTGGTGGGAGTGAAGGAGGGGGAGGGGAGGAGAATTTATGGACTCAGTGGGGGCTGGGAGAGGCGACTGCCGCATCCTCGAGAGTTCCAAGGTTGAAGTCAGCGTAGGGTTTTTTGTTTGGGTTTTTTGGTGTTGTTACTGTTGTTTTTAAGCGAATCATGGTGTAATGGAAAGCGCCCGGGACTTGTCAGGGAACGCTGCCACTCTGCCACTCGCTGAGTGTACCACCGACCGGTCTCCAGGCCTCAGTTTCCTCCGCAGTTGGTTGGGTGGGTTGAAGTAGATGCTCTCCAAGGCTCCTCCCTGCATTAAGAACTCGGATTGGGTCCAGGAGCTGTTCTGCCAACTCTGCTAACTGAAGAAACATCAGTGTTCCCAGTTCAGTTCCCTTAAAATAGAAGTCCTGCGCGGAGACGTGAGTCCCTTTGAAATAGGCTTGTCCGCGCGGATTGGGCCAACCTGGGACGCCTGGGGCCGTGGTGAGCTTCCTTGGTGTTCAGGATTCTTTGTGTAGTCCTGATCTTAGTGTCCAGTACCCTCTTGCCCTTGGCCTGACTGAACCATGGGAAGGTGAAAGCCGAAGGAAGATGGGATTCATAGAGTCTTAACAGCAGAGTGGCCCCCTCTGATAAGGAGAGACCGCTGGAGAACAGTTGTGTTGTGCGGGAGGAAGAGAGGTCGCCGCAATTCAGGTGGCATGTCCCATTCCCAGCTCTCTTAAAATCAGTTCAATTTTAGGATGCTATGTGAAGGAATTGTCACTGGAGGGCCCACCTTCCTGGTGGCAGCTGGCTTATTGTCATGCAGAGTGGGACAGATTAGTACTTCAGGTCTCGTGACCGAGCTGTAGAACTTTTAAAAGACCCTCCCAGGGCCTGGGGGCACTACAGGGAAACTCTGAAGGCACGGACACTGCGGTAAACTTGCCTGCCACTTCCCAGTGTTGAGTGCTGTGTTTTGTTGTGGGTAGGCAAGTTTTTCTAGGCTGGCTGTGAGAGGTACCCTCTGGCCTCTTGCTTGTGTGATAAAGAATTGTACAATTTCATTGTTCTCCTCCTTCTTTGCACTCCTGATTTCAGAAGGCAGACCTAAGAGATGATGCATTCTTATTAAAGGAAAGAAACGTGAAGGAATTTGCAAAATGATGACGTTCCTGACAGCTGTGGTAGTTTAGCTAGAAAGGGGTGTGTGTGCTTTCACTCTGTAAGTAAGGTGCGCCGACTATACCTACGTCCTCTTCCCCAGCCGCAGCTGTTACTGTAAACCTTTCTGCTTACTATGCTTATTCAGTTGGTGTTATGTTCCAGCAAACGGCTGTAGTTCCAAAAGCAACCTGATGTCAGGACCATGCATTTTATTATGAGAGGCATCTGCTGGCCTTTTTAAAGGTCTGTGTGTCTTGCCATTAAAACCATGACAACACTAACATTTTGAGTCATTTGTTGATCGGTGCCTTCCCTAAGCACAGATCAGGTTCCAGTGGCGCCAATTAAGTCCCCCTCTAACATCTTTAATGGGAAAAACTGTCAGATAAACATTGTGAGATACTCCTGCAAGAGAACTCTGTATGTGGCTTCCAAAAGAAAAATTAATACACAGCATATGACTTTAATATTCCACACACTGCACACCTAAAAAAATTGTTTCTACTTAGTTCACTCTCTGCCTAAACTGTCAGTGTGATTTAATTTTTGTAGTTTATTGATCATATGGCCTGGATTATAAGGTACTAATATATTAAGAAGAGAGACTGTTTTCTGTTTATTCTCCCACAGGAATATATACCAAGCCTCAGCTCCTAATATCTGGAAAAAATAAAAGTTAATGTGCTCTGTAAGTGTTATGTAAGTGGAAATATGCAAGTAGTTTAACTTGCTTCACATACCTTTTTGGAATGTTTTATTCTGGATGAAAAAACAAAAGGCAGAAAGAACTTAGTGTCAGAGAACCGCAATGGGAGCTATCTTTGAATAGCTGTCTTTGCCAACTGGTTCTTTCTAAATATGATTATGAGTCTTCTCGTGGTAGTTCTTAGGAAGTTCATTGTATTTTTGTTTCCATTAAGTAACCTTTATCACCTGTTTTTTGCACATTGATTCTGGTGTCTGGGGTTCTATGAGAGCAGAGAGAAGATTCCCAGGCAGAAATAGAGTTCCACCTACTTGTCTCTCTAAGTGCTATTAGCCTCTTTTTAAAAATATAAGTTAATTATATACTTGTCCCTGGAAGACATGTCCATCTTTGAGACCAGAAAACCAAGTCTCAAGGAAGAGAAGGACAGATTCTCGCACTGAAGTCAGTTTGAATTCCTTCTGACTACTCAGGTTAGCAAGGGCAGCCCTCATGTGGAAAATGCTGAAGCTCAGTTTGTAGCAAGTCCTTCTGTTCCACATTTCCCAGTTACACATGGGCTCCAAAACTGGCCCCAAAGAGGGCCAACTGTTCTGCCAGTGATACAGAATTCAGGTGATCAGCACCATTTTAATTAATTTGGTTGTTTCAGAATGTTTTCGGATATTTTGCAATTAATTGGTTGAGGTAAAATTTTAGACCTGGTTCCATATATAGGATACATGGAATCATCATGTATTACTCTATTTAAATTTATTGTACTGTTTAAATATTACACTGTTTAATAGTGAGAAGAGGAAGGCTTGGTGTAAGAAGGAATGGGAGTCTTGGAGGAAGAAGCTTCAGATTCCAGGCTGTCTCATGGCCCCAGTCTGGTTCTGTGGTTGTGGACAGGAAGGTTTTCTCTGGGTTTTAATTTTTTCCATCAGCAAAATGACTGGTTGATTGGGCTTATGTCTGATGTTAGACATGCTGGGACCAATGTCCAGCAGAGCAGAAGGACACATTTGCTGAATGTCTTCCTTACCTGTACATTCTGCTGAGCTTGTCACTGTCCAGTGTCTTGTATTGCCATTATGTTGCTATGTGATTTGGGAAAAATTCACTTGACCATTCTTGCTTTGATTTCTTTATCACTGCAGCGAAGGACAGAGACTAGACCATTGCTCAGACTCCTTCTAACTATCCCCTTTAAATCTATCCTAGTAGATACTCATTGCTCCTCGAAGACTATAACTTCAATCAAATTGTGCTATGTTTGGCCAAAGAATCAGTGTTGGAAGATTAGCCTAAATGGGTGTTGATTCTGGAGAGAAAGTAAGCATTGCTTTTATGAGAGTTAATCCACTATGCTAAAGAACTGGCTAGATTTTTTTTTTCTTTGCCCATTGTGCCCCTTTACCTGCTCCTTGAAATTTATAGCAATCACAGGCTAACAAATAAGCACAACATGTGGCTTTCCCCATCTTTTTGCTCAGTACATTCACTACCTGTTTCCGATTACGAATAGGCTTTTTTTTTTTATTAAATTCTTTTATTGGTACATTGTAGGTATACAACACAATTACATTTCTCATTGGGAATTGTACCTTTACATAATGCATCTTGGTTCTTATTTTTTCCCCATTCCTAGCCCTCCCTTCACCCCCTCCACCCTTCCCTATTTACAAAGACTTTATTTCCATTTTTTCCATTGATCATCATTTTTCCTTTCCCTTCTTTCCTTTCCCGTGCCCCTCCCACTACCCCTACCCCTTTGGACCTTTTCTTCCTATTTTGCCTTATCAATTAACGAATAGGCTTTGATAAATTAATCTATCATTGAGTCACAGAATATAGAAACAAATTTTCACCAACCAGCTGTTGCACTGTCTAGCAAAACATTCTACATGGATTGAAAAAAAAAAAACCAAGAAGGGAACTCAATTCAGTAGATCTACGTTGTAGATCAATTTAGTAGATCTGTTGAGTTTTCTAGGACGGTGGAAAACCTCTGTTGCCTTCTTGTCCAAAACTACTAGTTATTTTTTCTCTCCTAGCTGCTTTCTTCCATAACATTTTCTTATTTTAAGAGATATACCATGAGGATAGCTGCCTTTGTGGGAGACTTTGGTGGCCTTTTCCATTTTTAGCCCTTTTGATTGCCTGTCAATTTTAGATTCTTCCTTTACCCCTTCCTGTGCAGTTGTTTGGGCTGGCAGACCCAGTTGGTCACAGCATGCCGCTAATGAGACCTCAGTGAAGGCTTCTTCACCATGTGGGCAGTGGTATTTAGGGAGAATCCTACTTTATGCATCAGCTCATCTTAGTACAAATTATTTAAGGAGTAATGAGTAATTGGGGGTGGGTATTATATAGCTCATAAACTCACCTAATAAGAGAACCAGCTGGGATAAAATATAGGTGCTGAGCCTGTCCCAGGCCCCGGATTCTGTATTTTATAAAATCCTTGGCTAATTCTTATCAGGCCGATTTTAAAGTCAGTATATAACCACGATTGTCTTAAGGGCAACTGAATTAGGTTGTGGGCTTTTTGTTCCTACCCTGAATGTGCTAGCACTTTCTGCACTGATAGGTTGTTTCTTTGTGGGCGGTAGATCTGT